ACTTGGAAATGTTATTATATGCAATAAAATGTAAAATGTAATAAATAGTTTAATAAATAATGATAGTTTAGAAAGGTTAAATCATGTAGACCCCTTGCAAACTCTCGGTATAAGTAATTATTTTAATTTTTACAAACAGTTTACAAGCAGTGATAAAGGTTGATATGATGTGCGTGAGTCTTATTGTTACTAAAAGGGACTTAGAAACAAAGTAAAATAAATTTTTAGGAGAACATGCCCAAGGTTAAAGATTTATGAATAAAACAATATGACCACAAAGGACTTTTATCCAAGAATGTGAGTTAGACAGAAATGCAGTGCAAACCATAAGGGCAATGAAATACATATGTATGTAACTGTTAAGGTTTGGTCATCTAGTTATAAAATCAAAGCAAAGTTTAAAAAAGGGATGAATAATTGGATGTCAAATACTGTACATGCTCTGTTGGTAAGTCACCTCATATGGGCCTTTAATATGCTAAACCACCCTTTAAATCTTGTTAACATTCTTAATACAGTTTATAGATTTTGTAATTACATGGTGTCTAGGCAAATATTAGCCTGATTCATTCTTCTTTACTAATCTCAGTGCAGAGGAACTACTTTGGCAAATATAACTTATGTTTGATCACTAATGAGAAAATATGGCATGTCTTGTATCACATAACTAATTCTGAAAATGGAATTGTAAAACTCACTTTAAAGAACTCCAGGGATTTTGTAATTAACCCTTGCAGTGGGGCTACCCCTGCACTGCAAGGGTTAAGTGCTCATTTGTGTCTAGGTTAAAAAAGTTATACTCACCCGATGCTCTCAGCCGGCTTCTTCTTAGACCGGTCCTTCCCATGCCTCTCTCCCTCTTCAGAGGTCTAAGGTCCCATAAATCATCAATGTCTATACACAGTGTATAGGCCTGAGGACACTGAGGAAGATTCCTATGCTGTAACAGAGAAGGAGACAAGCTGGAGGGAGCTATGTGACAGCTGGCCGGCTTGGAGCTTCGAGTGAGTATATATATGTTATTTTTTCCCTAGACACAAATTAGTATTTAACCCTTGCAGTGGGGGGCGGGGGGGGTAGCCCCACTGTAAGGGATAACAAAAAGTTTTCCTGAAGCGTTTCTTTAATGTATGGACGCAATTTTTATACATTGCACGGAACTCATAGTTGTATGTCAATATGTAATGAAAAAATAATTACCTGAAATCAAATCCACTTCTTTTACCATTTTCTGGTACTCCAGGATCTGGACACATATCTGTAGCTGTTTGTACACCTCCTTGACTTACTGTGAAAAAAAAAAAGTTTCACATGTCCAAGTACTTTCTTATTCATCATTAACAGATGCTTGTTGATAACAATGATCAGTAATGAATGTTGCTAAACTTTGCACTGCCTAACCTAATATACACTTTGTATAAATTACTTCAGTTGCCTCCCCCTCCACCACTTCACAATGCTAGTAAAGGAAACTTATATACCAAAACCAATTAATCTGAAATGTGCCTGGCTCCTGATTTTGTTCCCAACTATTTATATGGTCTGCGATGAACCTAATTTTTATGAATAGTGCAGAAAATTGAATTTAAGGCCAAGACACCAAGGATCTGGATAATTGATTCACACATATGCAGGTGCATGTAAACATCATATTCATTATCATCATCTTGAAAGTAATCACATTTGATTAATCAATATGTTTAGATTAGTGTGCTGAGTTCTGTCATGGTTTGTAGTAATTGTAGTAATTCATCCTCTAAGAAGGAGATTCTCTGTTCTGCCTCTGTTAACTTTTGTGCCTGAGCAAACAAATCATGTCTGAGTTGCTGTATACTTTAGTGCATGGTTTTATGCACAGTAATAGAAGGTTTTAACCCTTTTGCTGCCAAGGCCTTTTTTTCTTCTTAATTTTTTGCACACATGATATAATCCACATTTTAGGCCTGAAAATTACTTCAAGCCCCAAAACATCATATATTTTCTGAAAGCCAATACCCTGTATAATAAAATGGTGGTAGTTGCAAATTTTTATGTAGCATGATATTGGCGCAAAATGCACTTAAGTTAATTTTAGTGCCCAAAAACACAATAAAATACAATTGTTTTCTAAAATATAAAAGATGAGGTTAGGTTAAATAAATAAATACCCAGCATGCCCAGGTTAAAAATTGAGTGCTCCTGAGAAATGGTGACAAAATTCAGTATCCTAAAAAGTTAATAAACAATGCTATAGAAGCCCCTACAGGTCATTAGTCTAGAGATACAGTATGTGTAAATATTGGCCCTAGAATTATTGCTTTCACTCAGGTGTGCACAACAATACCCAACATGTGTATCACAATCAACATTTCCATATGTAGGTGCACCCTACGCATGTTTGCGTGAATGCGCTTGGGGGCTGGGGACTTTAAAAAATGTTTACATTATTTTTACATGTATTTTATTCTATATTATTTTTTAAAACTTTTTTTATTTTACTTTAATTGCTATCCCATAGGGGGACTTACAAGCCCTTCATGTGATAGCATATTGGCAGTGACAGGTCCTCTTTAAGGTGATACTGGGGGTCCAAAAGACCCCTAGTATCACCTTTCCACTTTAAATAAGCTATTGAAGTGCATATTATTGCTCAGCTTCAGTAACTTGCTCTTTCCTGCCCTTCCAGGCCACATCTCGGATTAACGGTCTGGTTGGGAATTTTAGGGGGACCCACTTTCTTTTCATTTTTTGAACTTTGGGATTCCCTAAAAATTCCTACCGGACCTAAAGGTTTTTTTTTTACATCAGCGGGTCCCCCCTAACATTTTTACCATGATTTAGGACCCCACACTGTTTTTTTTCTTTCCATATTTTACTACCTCTGAAGTAGTGAACAGAATGACCAAGCCGAATGCTGCAAGGCAGCATTTAGTTATTCACTCTCCAATGTTCGGCTCAGATGTTGCATCAGCTAAAGGCAAATGGATTTGTCCCTTCAGTTCAGCCAATGTGCTAAGCCTGTTCGGCTGAACCGAAGGGAAGTGAAGTGAGCCGAAGGCAGCTGATGTACGGCTAAAAATAGCCATACAGAGCTGCTGTGAATGGCCAAAAAGACTTTGGCTCAGTTCATTTCAGCTCAGTTATTAATTTGGCTGCCTTCAGCAGATTAGTAAATAACCCCCTTAGTATTATTAGTTGATTTAATAGTAAGACAAGAAATGCTTCCAAATGCAGCAACTTTTTTTTGTAACTGGAGAGAGTATAACAGATCCAATTCCACCAAATTAAAGACTCGAATGGGTATAGAAAAGTATTTATGAATGTGTGGTGAAAAATATTTTATCATGCTCACCAGACACAAAGAAAAATATGTTTTAGTCTGGCTTGTGGTTTGTCAAATGTGTCACCTTACATTGCTGCCTACTACACACTTGAGATTTAAATCTGATTGTTTGTATTATTAACTTGACAATTTGGGAACAAATGAGGGTGGCATGGGGTTCAGTATGATTTCCCCTATTCTCTCAGCACATTCATCAGACCTCACTATCATCACACTAGGATTGCTTGTGAAATTGAAATATGTTGTTAAAAAAACCCCACTACATTAAAAAGATGTTGAAATGCCCCAAGGTATTAGCTGGTGAGAAACAGGACTAAGACATGCAGATCAGTTAAAATAAGAATTGTTGGCTGGCAAGCTAACATTGAATAAAGTAAATGAAATTGTATAGATAAAACTGGTATCCTTACAAAGTAAAAAAAAATAGCTAAGGAAGTAAAGGGAATGGGAAAGAACAATTAAAATGCATAATTATAGTATATATTATAGTGGTGGTTAAAGCATAAACAAACTTTTTGCTACATAATATATGGAAACTGGCTTTGTTGGACTTTGTGTTGGTAGAATATGTGTTTTGCATTTAAAAAAGGACAGGAGAATATAAGTATTATTAACATACATACACCTACTGAGAAATAATTGAGAGGTAAAGTATGACTTTTACCACTAGTTGGAAGCAGTGTATGCAGGAAAGCTAAAGCATGAAAAATTGTAATGGAGTGCAAGAATGTAATGATAGGAAAAAAGAAGGAATAATATGAGCAATACAGCCAGGGTGTCTGTGATTTAGTCAATGGGAGCAATGTAAAATAGAGTTAGATTTTCATAAGCATTTTTGTAACCTAAATGTGTTTTTCCATCTGGAAACTAAAGCGACTCATAACTTCTGCAATTTTTTCTGTTCTAGAGACAAAATAACTATGTTTGTGGGACAAAGAAGTGCAGCAGAAAAACCTTACAGATGTAAATGTAAAATATTTCCATATAAATGGTACAATGAAAAATAAATAGCATAACAAACCATAGCTAAGGTGATGAAAAAGTTGATAAAAACTAATTAGGGTTGATTAAGGGTTAATAAAGTGCTAAAAAAGTATTTTTTTGTAAAAATATTTAATTGCACAACACTAATTTAGAAGTGCACCATTATTACATGAATGAAGTGCAGTACTTGGCTGTTACACTGAATGGCACTTCCAGTGTAATCAGCAGAGCTCTGCTGTCACTTTAACATAATACATAGTGTTGCCATATAAAGTTTTGCTTGTGTAATATATTAATTAGATAATATAATATATATATTTGACTGCATCTATCTGCATGTTATGTGACTCTCAGTTCCTCAATTATGTTACTTATTGTGTTACTGTGAATCTGTCTGCTTTGAAGTCCTAGCTATTGTTTTGTTTGCTTATCACATCTCACATGGGGGTGTAAACAGCAACCTTATTTAAATCCTCCAATCAGGTTACGCCCAATGTACATTTGGTAGGCAGTGTACAGAAAGGAGGATATATAAGGTATTGTTAGCAAGCCATGTGCTCTCTTTTTAACTGGAACACAAGGGCATTCAGTATGAACAGGAGAGAAGCTGAGAGGTAAAACTCCACCACACTTGTACATTGTCTTGTAAATATTGTTTTGTGTGTTATTTGTAAATATGTAACCCTACCAATAAATGTATATTGCTGATGGAACTACTTCTTTTGTCTAAGAATCCTCAGATCTAGGGGTGTTTATGTGAATATTATTGTCGTCATTGGAATATATTTACATATCCATTTCACCTGGGTAACAATAGTGGGGTCAGCTCCATTGCTTACACTATCAGGGCTGCTCTCACAGTGTAATCAGCAGGGATTGGCTATCAGGGTGACAGCACAGTCAGAATATGGCTAAGGTAACAGAGACAGGAGAACCATTGCCTTGGTCTCACCCTGAATCCAGGTTGAGCTGTAGGGGAGCAAATTGTGATTCTGATACCACATTGTCCAAATTGAGTATAAAACAAAAATAACAGTTGTTAGTTAACCAGTTGGAAGAAGGAGACAAGAAACCTCTAAATGAAGTGCAAAGAATAGGATCCACTTGAGAACTAAGTTCCCTAGTAAGGATAGATTGCTGATGGGAGATGACAGACTAAACAAGAGCTTTTAGTGGGACATCAAGCTTAGTAAAAGGGTGGCAAAAACAAGCTGTTAAAAAAACTACAGAGACATCACATTAATCTCGTTGATATAACTTGTAGTGCTTCTTGGGACTTCTTCACTGTTTGTCAGTTACTGCAACTTACTGTATATTCCATTGCACTGTGCTGTGGTCATGACCTGCCGCTCTGGATGCTGACATCTGGAAATGTACTCACTGGTATCTTTGCTGTTGCCAGATTACAGGGTATCACCCAAAAACATTTTTAGTGTGGACAACTTATTTTAGTTTCTGTTGCCTGTTTGACTCTTGTGCTTTCATGTTTTTTGAGAATGAAACTTTAAGTATAGTTCCCACCAGAACACATAGATCAGGGGTGGGCAAATCCAGCCCTCCAGCTGTGCTTTAACTACAAATAATAACATGCCTCTGTCTCTGAGAGTCACGCCTTTAACTGTCAGCCCTGCAATGAGGATTTATAATTTCTCAACACCTGGAGGGCCAGTGTTGCCCAACCCTGACATAGATTAAGACATGTTGGCATGCATTTGTCTGTTTATGGAAACAAATGACTTGGATGGCAAACTGCAGGTCAACACACCCACATTCAGCATGCAGTACTTTTACCCAACACAATGCAATAGAAAGCATTGGTGGAAAAAAGTTATTAAAAACAATGGATTGTAAATGTCAAATTATTTTGCTTTTGCTGTAGAATGCAGCAACATGCATAGCAACATGTCCTTAGCTTAGCAAAAACTGTGTGCCAAGTTCCAAATTTCTGATGTCTATACCTTAGGTGTCTGTTTGTGGTCTGG